GTATGCATTTCAGGCTGTTGGCCTTTTTGATTAATAAAGAAAGGGTATTTTCCCAATTCTGGAATAATTAAAATTTAAACAGAATAATTGATATTTATTCCGACAGATGACGCAAACCATCCGCAACTTTCAGTTGCATGATGAAGAGATGTCATTTTCTTAATTTATCCACCTTTTCCCAGCACAATTCAATATTTGTACTATTTTTCCCATTGTTTCGCGGTCTCACACACTTCTGGCCTTGACTACCTGTTTCATGTTTTTTTAGGATGCCTGAATGACCAGTTATTTGATCGGTATGGTACAGCTTGCACCCCGCTGATGAGGGACAACAACCCGAAACAGGTACATATTTATCTTTTCTTGATTAATAAAGAATCGGTATTTGGCCATATCTGGAATATTTAACACTTTCGACCTGAGGGACACAAATTCACATCATTACTGATTTTGCATCAAGCCCGAAATACGCGAATACACTTTAATTATGAAATTTTATTAGATGATATAGAGTATATAATTATTGTCAAATGCCTCTTTGGATGAAGGCTGCTTCATAGTTTAACCTACTAATATAATCTATTGGAAGTAACTTTCATCATTTTACTTAAAATAAATATAGAAATGTGTGAATAGCTTATCTGATATATATATATACTTTATTAACATCATGAAACGCGATATCCCAAACTCAGGGATATTTGCGTCAATACCTTTCACTGCATTACAGCAATTCGGCTATATACAATCCTGTTCAATTCATTATTTTACATAAATTAACTAAAGAAAATTGTCCAAAGAGAAAAAAAAAACAAAGCAAAACACACAGAGCAAGCATCGCAGTTCTCCCTTTTCTTTTTTTCTAAGATTCCTACTCTTTTTTCCAATTCAAGATAAAGTTGTATATGTATTTACAAAATTGATCAAAATTTTTATACTTTTCTTTTTTGTCTACAAATTCATCAAGCTGTCCAATACGACCAAATCTATTTTCCCTAAAATCCCGGAAAATTGGGAACTCCAGAAGTAGATGTCTCGCGTCTTGAATTTCACCTCCGCAGAAGCATCCTGGTTCCTTCACGGCGCCGATAGTTGCCAAAAATTTCCCAAAATTGCCATGATCTGTAATGAATTGGATATTATAAAAATTTGGACGGAAAAATCTTGGAATTCCAAATACGAAAAAGCTTCTGAAAATTTCATTAGTGTTCTCAAAAATTTCATTCATTTTTGCGTGTAAGAATGATTTGACTATACTTGGAGCATGGGGTTCGTAAGTAATTAGATCCTCAATGGACAGTTGAGCTAGATCAAATTTGATTATTCTGGATTCTATATAGTCTGTTAGGAGTGGGATTTTTGCCAAGCTATGCACACAGTTTGATGAAGTGGTTTTATATGCTCTAACTGCCCATAAAATGATCTGGTACTGCATGGAGTTCAGTTTTTGTTTACAACGATTGTTTAAATATTTGAACCAAATTTCAGAACCGAATGTAAGTACAGGCCTAATGATTGTTTTAAATAAAGTTAACCTCTTTTGAGTGTCTAAACCCCACATATTGCCACTTAGTGAACATAATAAATTTTTCATACGTCCTGCCTTACACAGAATATCATTAACATGCGGTGTAAAGTTAACTTTGTTTTTCCATTTATGATTAGAAAATTTCATTCCCAGAATTTTTACTTGCTTGACCGGCATTATTATATTGTTATTAACCTTAATAGGTATTTTTTGTCTGTTATGTAGGTATAGCATATTAGTCTACTCTGTACTGATCGTTAATTTATTTCTATTACACCATTGGATCACATAATTTAAGGTGTATTCACTTGCGGTTTTTAGGCCTTCAATAGTCTTATTCCAGCAAATTATTGTAACGTCGTCTGCATAACATATAATATCTGCATTCATTGAATCAAAATTTATCAACAAATCATTTAGCAAAATATTCCATAGAAGTGGTGATAAAGGTCCACCCTGTGGACATCCTTTAGTTAGTTTCTTATAAAAAGTTTCTGATTCGTATGTAAATTTCACCTCCCTTTCATTATTCAAATAAGATTTTATGATCCGTATTAAATCTGAGGGAACATCATCATTATCCATTCTTTTTATAATAGCAGGCCACCATGCATTGTCGAATGCACCCGCAATATCTATAGCTATCAAGGAAGTCAATTCTTTTTGTTTATGTTTCAATATAGTTTCTATAATTTTATCCATTCCAGTAATTGTTGATCTAGATTTCATAAAACCATGCTGCCTTGAGCTCATTAAATTATTCTCTAAATAATAGTTACTTAATTTATTTTTTATTATAATCTCAAATGTTTTAGAGAGATTAGATGTCAATGATATAGGTCTATAACTTTTATTTATTTCATAATTCGTTTTGCCTGGTTTTGGAATTATTTTTAAGAATGATTTTTTCCATTCATCCCTTTCAGTTTTTGGTCCATAACATCTGTAATTGTTGTTTTCATTAGTTCCAATATATCTTGGTTATTTATTTCTTTTAAAGTTGAAATACCATCCTTGGTTTGCCTAACCATAGTTGACAAAAATGTAATATCATTTTTAGTTAGATTTTTTTGATTTTGTTGAACTTTTTTTGTCAAAATAGTTATAAATTTCATCCAACTTATCATTTAATGTTTGAATAATTATGTCCATATTCTATTTTTGCATATTTGTGCGAAAACAACAATGGAAAAGGCTTTCAAAAATGATAATAAAACAAAACCAAAAAAGGAAATCTCCTAAACTCTTGAACAGTGATTGCCAATTAAAAAAGGTTATAATATTTTTAATTAAACAATTTATAAAACTTTTATAAATTATACAATGAGTAAAATCAATATTTAAAACAATATTTACCGGAACTATCGGAGCCAAGCGACACACGTCCGGTCAGTTTCGCCTCCTGGCGGCAAAAAATCTGATAATAATTACCTTTTATTTTGCCTTTTACTCTCTACTTACTGTCTATATAGTACTTGGAGTGAATTTGTATTTAGTATGATCACAATAAAAAATTTTAAATTTTTTTTAACATTTTAAAAAATAAAAACACTATATGATTTATCAAATTTTTATTTATTATTTCTAATTCTATAGATTATATTATAAACACAAAGTAATAAGACCAAATCCATATAGTGTGTGACGTTTCGTTAACAGCATTGTTGCCGAAATGTCACGCTATTTATTTATTTGGATTTGGTCTTAATACCTTGTTTTTATAATCTATAATCCAAATTGTGCCTTATCATAGATTTTATTAAAATGAAAATTGCATTTTTGAAATGAGATTCTATTTATCAATTTTTTTTTTAAAACTCGAGTTTCATATATCCCAGTGAACCATGCAATGCTAGAATCATCCATCCTCAAAGTGTTAAAAATCAACAGAATATTGTGACGAAGAAATAATTTATTAATTAAATTATTCAATGAAACTATTCAACAGAGTATATAAATATATATTAATCTTTTATGTAAAATAATTATCAAAATATCTCTTTGCTTGCTTGCTCAAGATTCTCTAGCTGTAAGTAGTTTTTGCTGACTTGTTAATAATTGTCGACTTGTCGCCGTGACGTCATCAATAAATACTTTTACATCTTAGGATATTTCAAGGCTTGATTTCTACGCTACAACTGGTGGAGAGACTGGACCGATACCCATTAAGAAATAAAAGAAAAATTGATTCTGTTGAACCAGAAGAAACTTCTATGAATGTAAAGAAGGAAGGTGCTCAGGTAAGCAACTACGTTGTTCAACATTTGCCAAGGAACCCTTCCATTTTCTCCGGGGAGGATGGTGAAGATCTTCAAAAATGGTTAAAAGGGTATGCACGTGTGGCAAAGTACAACCATTGGGACGAAACCCTTTGTCTTACTAAAGTTTATTTTTATCTGTCTGGAACTGCTCTCAAATGGTTCGAGAACAACGAAGAAAGCATACAGACTTGGAAGGAATTCACATCTCAATTAGAGAATGTGTTCGGAAAAAAAGAAAATTCAAAATTGCAAGCGGAGAAGAAACTTAAAACACGGGCACAATTAAAAGGTGAAAGTACCGAATTTTACATCCAGGATGTCCTGTGCTTGTGCAAAGAGGTTGATCCTCAAATGAGCGAGGAAGATAAAATCTCCCACCTCATGAAGGGGATAGCTGAGGAGCTTTATCAAGCACTCCTACCGAGGGATGTACAGAGCACCGAGCAATTTATTACAGAATGTCGCCGTGTTGAGGCGCTCCGTTGTAGGCGAGTTACCCCAACCAGATACGAGCGCCTACCAAATGTGGCGTCTCTCCGTGATCATGATGACAGGGCAGATCTGTCATCTATGATTAGGCAAATGGTTCGTGAGGAGGTACAGCGAGCATTAGCCTCTCCTCGAGAAGAACCAGAAATTTCTGCAATTAAACATATGGTGCAGCAAGAAATTGAAAAAACCATTGCGCCAATTTCTAGAAGTTTCCCTCAAAATAGAGCGCAAAGACCATTACCAAGCCCTAGGTACGAGTTCCAACCCAGAAATTTTCAACCTAGACCGCAGCAGCCGAAACAAGTAAACGGAAGACGCGATACCAACGAATGGCGAACCACTGAAGGTAACCCAATCTGTTTCCACTGCGGACGCCCTGGCCACGTCGTGCGCTACTGCCGTGACAGGAGGAGAGAATATGAAGGAGAACAAACTTGGAATTACAAACAGAGATATAGGCAAGAGCCTAGAACATTCTATAATTCTCGGAGCAGCCAAGAGCCCAACGACGACCTGCCAAGAGAAAATATACGCCGCTACCGAAGCCCCTCTCCTTACACTGGCCGAAAAGGACAACATTAGTCTCCTGAGAGAAGACCCAGCCAGTCGCCTCGCCGTTCCTGTTAGGAAAAACTAATGAGACATTACTTCGGCCCATACAAAGTAACCCGAAAAATATCTGATGTGACCTATGAAGTTGAAACATTCGGAAACCAGCAAGGTCGTAGTAAAACAAAAGATTTAGTTCACATTTGTAGGATGAAACCATATTTAAACCCAGAGGACCAGGAGGACCACCTAGAATAGGACCCAGAAGATGACTCGACAAACTTCCAGGAAGAAGACATCCCCACTGAACGAACACAACAACCACAGACCCGTGTAGAGATCTCAGGCCCTATCACCCGTTCACGAGCCTTGAGACTGAGGATGTAAGTCTCCTTCTGAGCATCGGGTCGATGCTCTTTATAGGAGGAGGCTATGTGACGAAGAAATAATTTATTAATTAAATTATTCAATGAAACTATTCAACAGAGTATATAAATATATATTAATCTTTTATGTAAAATAATTATCAAAATATCTCTTTGCTTGCTTGCTCAAGATTCTCTAGCTGTAAGTAGTTTTTGCTGACTTGTTAATAATTGTCGACTTGTCGCCGTGACGTCATCAATAAATACTTTTACATCTTAGGATATTTCAAGGCTTGATTTCTACGCTACAATATATATAAATGATATTTATTCCCTCAGATAGCCCACGCTGTCAACAACTTCCAGTTGCACAATAAGAAGATGCCTTTATCTTAATTTATCCACCTTATCCCAGTACAATATCTCATTTGTTATATATTTTTACTAATGGCAAGTGTAATTTTTGATGTCATAAAAGTATTGCTTAGAAAAATAATTAATTCTATTTTTTTTTTAAATATTTAAATGGCTATATATATGTGTGTGTGTCTTTATTGATTCTAACATATATAATTTTTTTTTCAGGATTAAAGTCACTCCTTTTTCCTCTGTGAATATTATATATAATAATAAAAATAATTCTGCATCCATATGTCAATAAGTAGTATTTTTGAAAATGTCTTTGGTGCAAATATTATAAATACAAAATATCAAGTGCAGCATAATTCGTTTATTTTCCTCTTTTGGATATTGTGGAGGGTGACTAAACTAATCAAAACCTAGAAAGTGATAGCCTTCTTGAAAAGCATTCATTTGTAGAAAAAGAAGAAGTAAATTTTCTACAAGTGTGACTTTTTTGATGGCATAGTTAAAAGGAAATTCAATCTACATACATTTGGTCACTCAAGCATGGAAAATGACCTTTTAATGTGACTTGTGACTACAAATCAAGAATCAAATATACACCAGTAAACATTTGATGACTCATACTGGTGAAACAGATCAAGAAACAAATGCAGCCTTAATCAACATTTGCTCACACACACACCAAGAAAAGTCATTTAAATATATGTTTTATAAATATAAAGCAATTAAGAAATGTATGCTGAAAAGACATCCGATTAAATACTGGCGAAAGGGCCTTTTAAATGTGAACATTGTGAATTTGAGTAGACATAACAGCTCCCTCAAAAAGCATTCATAACTTTACATAGGTAAGATGTACATTAATGGCATGCATGCTGCATATTTATCAAAAATTTAAATGAGAACATCTTTATTTTGCAACCATATACAATAAAACCCTGATAAGACAAAACCAGGATATAATGAACCTTCCTTTCTAAAGAACCCAATGTAAATCCGAATTCCATTAAAAATACCATTGTTATAACGAACATTGTGTTTTTCAAAATAGCAAACTATAAATAAAACAAAATCAATTTAGGTCCCAAAATATTAAATTCTATGTAAAATACCATGCCTATAACTAACTTTGAATTTTAATTCAATCAATTTTTGAAACTAATTAATATTTTTGTGCGAGCTCTAGGTTACAGATCACAATTTAAAACAATGAATTTAGGGACATTGGTGTTTTCATTTATGATCCATTTTTTACTGCCTACATGCTTTTATAAATTTTATACCTTATTGAAAACTAAATTTCTTTACATTCGTAAAATTCCTTTGAAAATGGACAAATTATTGACACCGGTTTCAAAATATAATAGAAGTTCCAAAGAAAAAGTCACTCGTAACAATATTCACTTGAAAAGAAAATAGCCATCATACAAACCATGTATTGATACATGAAAGTGGTACATCACAAGCAGAATTTTGGAAGAAAATGAGAAAAAGTAGCAATTCTGCGAAATGGGGCCAAAAAGAAGTTGGCCGCGAACATCAGTGTCATTATCTTCTTTTAGAAGCTTGTATAAATGGCTTGTACAAGCTAGGCTAAAAAATATCCCACTAAATAAGCCACATTTTACAACAAGAGGCCATTCTTCTATACCATGGGTATGAACTATGATGATTTTGAAGCCCGTAATGGGTGCTTTAATATAATTAAGGCCAGAAAATAAATATTATTTTTTTAAAATTTGCAGAGAGGAAAGGGCAATGAACCTTTTGGTGGTGGAAGATGGAGAAAAAAAAAAACCTACTTTTTTGGACAAGTATTCTCCCTCCAATAATTTATAATCTTGATGAGTCAAAGGATTATTTTATAGGATTTGCCTGACAAGACACTCACCTTCAAAGGCAACATTTTTCTGGAACAGAGGCCAAACGAGAGAATTACCTTTTTGGCTGGAGCTGATATGGATTGCTTAGAAAGCAAAAAAAATCTCTCCACCCATTATGAAGCAAATAAAATAGCTTGAATGACAGTCTTAATTTTCAAAAAATATCTTCATTATTTAGATAAGTATTTTGCCAGTGAAAATAGATAGGTGGTTCTAATTCTAGACAATTATTCAGCACACATCCCTGAAAAATTGAAAAATATTCAGGTATTATATTCCGCCCCAATGCCACAGCCAAGATGCACCCTATGAATATGGGAATAATTCATGATATTAAAAGGAGATATAGGATCAGGTTAATCAATAGATGCCTTATAGACATGGAAAAAAAAACAGAGAGACCAATATTACATTGCTTGATTCAATAGAATGGTTGAATATGTCATGGGACTCTGATCCTAAATCAACCATTGTAAGTTGCTCTTCTATGTCTGGGTTCGGAAACCTTCAAGATGAAATTGCCCCACAAGATTCTTTAAATTTATTAAACCTTGAAGGAATATCAAAAGCATCCAAAAAATTTGAGCAATATATTCGTGTTAATGAGAATGAACAGTTTAAATCAGAAAAAATAAAGACTTTTTAAAGTAAGCCTATATTGTAGTATAAAAATATTGATTTAAAATAGATTTTAATACCTTTTAAATATTATTGATATAACTTTTCCTTTTATTATACTTTTCTTGATTTTTTAGACATATGGGGGGGGGGGGGGGTTTGCATAATTAGAAGAACCAATCTTTTGCTTATTACTTTTGTTTCTTTGTATATCTGAAAAAAAAACATTAACATTATAAATGTCCAGTATGTGCTTATTTTTACATTATCCACCAAAATATCTTGTGATTAATTCAAGTATTCAGTTGTGTATATAGAACATGATTTGAAATGTTACACATACCTCTGTTAATAAAATTTCCTATTTTTGCCATATAGTAAAACTCATTTAGCATTTTTCAAACTCAATACTGTTGTTTATGTTGTTCTTGTGTCTATTTGATCACGCAGAATGCAACTGAACTAAGTATTTATTTATTTACCATCTATTTTTTATAACATGGTTATATATCTAAGAGTGTTTACAAGTCGAGTCGGCAGTGTTGCCGGATCAATCATAACATGTTTCCTTTAAACAAAAATAAAAAAGGATTGCAGTTCTCCTAGTCTCTATAACGCAAAGGTTTTCTCACTGTTCTACCACTGCGGGTTCGCACACTAGGAGAAGTAGATGATTCTTCACCTTTCTTGGCAATGTCCTCCCTTGGATCATATGCTCTTCTGTTTTCGGAAGTGGGTCTTCCGTGATCTTGTATGTTGTCATCCATGGCTGTCCCTGCTTGAGATCCAGGAATGCTTGGACTTTGACTTGTTGGGGCAGAATCTTCTACACTGAACTTTCTCGGTCTAAGGTGAGACCTGTTCCTGCGGTATTCAAACCCACTTAGTGTTTTCACCATATATGAGCGTGGAGTTTCATGCTTTGCGGTCACTGTTGCCGGAACCCATTTTCTATGCCTTTCCTGCAACATGATGTTGTCTCCTACTTCCAAAGGTCTCAAAATTCTCTTTGGACTTCCTGCATACTTTTGTTGATGGTCTCTCAATTTTTGGTAATTCTTTGTTGTGTCAAACAGTGGTTTCAACTGTTGTCGGGTGTATGTCGAAAGAGTTCTCACAGATCTTCCCATAAGCATTTGGGTCGGAGATGCAACTGAACTAAGTATTTATTTATTTACCATCTATTTTTTATAACATGGTTATATATCTAAGAGTGTTTACAAGTCGAGTCGGCAGTGTTGCCGGATCAATCATAACAAATACCTCAAACAAACATGTTAAAATGGTGATACATTTTAATTATGAAGCCTGACAAGAAATTAATTTTTAGCATTATTTTCTTTTAAAATTAATATTGTCACGATTTTGAATTTTATAATTAATTATTTCTTTTTTTTCAAAGGATTTTGTATATTAATTTAAAGTCATTTTTGTTATCATCATCCCATACAATGTAATTTTTAATATATATATAAACAAACGATAATAAACAAAAATAACAATGTAATTTGCATCTTCATTATTATAAAACAACAAATAAATTATCAATGTAAAACCATAAAACCTTTTAACATTTAACACCAAAACGTTACATTAAATTTTGGCGCAGCTACGAAAGGATACCATACAAAAGGCTATGATGCAATAAAGGTAGAATGGTGGCAGGGTTTAACAAATTAAGAAAAATTTAGCGGTGAGAAAGGTTCAATTCGCCCTAAATCTTGGCTTAAACTATATGAATTAGAAACTATCAAGCTAGATGAAAGTGAAATAATCAATAGTTTAATTTATTATTCATCAAAAGATGCCTTGGTATATAATGGTATAATTTTTTTCTTGCATCACAGGGCCATTTATGTTCTTTATATCCCGGGTTTGTATTAGTAGAGTTTTACTTATAAAAGAAATATGTTTCAATTAAAAGAAAATTGATAAGGCACAATTTGGATTATAAATTATAAACACAAGATAATAAGACCAAATAATTTAATAATGTGTGACATTTCGGTAACAGCTGTGGTAAAATTTCTCATTCAGTACTTTTGTCTGAAGATGGTAACAATGCTGTTACCGAAACGTCACAACTATTTATTTGGATTTGGTCTTATTGCCTTGTTAATTAAACAAACAAACAAACAAAAACCTTTATTAAGACACTATTGTCTTACAAGGGGATTCCCCTAAAAGGTTATATATGTACATGAGTGAGGAGGAAAAGCAATTTAGAGGGGAAGGGGAGCAATCAGCCGTTGTCTGTGGATTGAGCACTTCTTCTCTCATTTTATCAATCGCCTTGAAAAATTTAAAATATTTATAAACAAATGTTTTATCCAGCAGGAGAGCAGTAAAGATTTTATATACATGTTGTTCATTGTAGTGAATTAGCTCCGAAATTTCGCGAATTTCCATTTTCTTTTCATGTAGGAATGGGCAATGGAAAAGATAGTGGACCAAATTGTCTTGGATGCCAACATTGCAAAAGTAGCAATTTAAAGGGTCGCTGTTCCAAAATCCTGTGATATCCTCGCGGAAAGGTAGCCATAGAAACCTTGTGAATTAAAATAAAAGTGTTTCAATTATGGTAAAAGAGTATTTTTCAATTCTTGTTATTTAAAGGGTAAAAAGAGTATTTTTGAAAATAAAAAATGTTGTTTTTAAAGGTTGAAATAGTGTCAAAGGTGTCAAATCAGAAATTAGCCTGCTTTGATATAAGTGCCAGTTATTCAATTGACATTTAGCGCACATTTGAATAGGTAAGGTAATAAGACTAAATTCAAACGAATAAATAGTGGGATAATAAAACCGAATCCAAATGAATAAATAGTGTGTGACATTCTGGTAACATTATTGTTACCATCTTTAGACATCTGTATGGTAACAATGCGCCTACCAAAACATCACACACTATTCATTTGGATTTGGTCTTATTAAATTGTTTTTAAAATATAAAATCCAAATCGTGCCTAATCATGAAAAATATGCTTTTCTGAGCCTTTTCAAGTAGACCACTTTTCAACTTTGATGAACTTTCAAGTCATTTGCCCCTACCACAGTGTTGGATGTTGAAATTTTAAGCATAATGTAGAATTGTTTGAAACAATATTTTCTACTTCAGTAGTTGATAACTGCAAGTACTAATGAAGCTGCTCAATTGAAGAAACTTTTGTCATGTTAGACTTAGAGCTTACAATCTTATTTCTTGATCCAATTTACCAGCCACAGCGTGAACTAAATACAATTCTTTTATTCAACACCACCCGAGGCATTCGAATTTTCAGTTGAATTAAAACCAGTGTTAAATTATAGTCAGTTAAAATAAATAAGCCTATTAGGATTTTAAAAAATGATATAAATAAAGTAAGTGTTGAATTATATTTAGTTGAATTGAAGAGGTTGCACTATGTTTGTTTAGTGTATTCAGAGATTGTGTATATTTCTCAATTTTGTTATCAAGGAGATTGACCTATGTCATAACATAATGGCAAGTTAAGTAAAAGACATCTCCTTTTAGTGCAACTGAGAGTTGCTGATAGCTGGCAGCATCTGCTGGAATAAATATCAACTATTCTGTTGATTTTGATTATTCCAGAATTGGCCAAATACCCATTTTTGATTCATTAAGTGAAGCTAACCCTGTATGCTTTCCAGGCTGTCAGACTTTTTGATTTTTTTTTTAAATAAAGAATAGGAATTTTTCGAATTCCTGATTAATTAAAATATAAACAGAATAGTGTGTATTTTTCCCCACAGATGAGGCAAACCATCAGCAACTTTCAGTTGCACGATGAAGAGATGCCATTTTCTTAATTTATCCACCATATCCCACACAATTTTATATTTGTACAATTTATCCCATTGTTTCGCTGTCTCACACACTTCTGGCCTTAACCACCTGTTTCATGTTTTTTTAGGATGCCTGCATGACCAGTTATTTGGTCGTTATGGTACAGCTTGCACCCCGCTGATGAGGGCAACAGCCGAAACACGTATGTTTTTATCTTTTCTTGATTAATCAAGAATGGGTATTTGGCCACATCTGGAATAATTAACACTTTCGACCTAAGGGACGCGAATTCACATCATTACCGATTTTTCATCAAGCCCGAAATACATGAAAAACTAATTTGCAGAAGAGAAGATTTCGCTAATTTTAGAATGCCCATTTTATTGCCCTCAGATCACTTCTTGGTTTCTTTGCTCATCAGGTGGAACCATGAAACCCACGGGCACGCCGGTCTACAAACTCTCCTCGGTATTCTGAGAGAAAACTATTGGATATTAAGATCCAGGAAAACCGTCAAGAAGATCATCAATCAATGCATTCGCTGTAAACGATTCACCGCGACACCAGCTACCGTCGAGTCAACATCATTACCAGAAGACAGAGTACGACATGCTGCAGTTTTCGAAATAGTAGGAGTTGATCTAACTGGACATCTTATCTTAAAGAATAAGAAGAAAGCATGGATTGTCATCTTCACATGTGCAGTGTATAGAGGAGATCATCTGGAACTTGTGACATCTTTGTCAATGGAAGCCTTCCTCCAAGCTTTCCGCCGATTTATTGCTCGAAGAGGCCGACCATTGATTGTGTATTCGGATAATGGGACTAATTTCAAAGGCATGGCTAATGCTTTAAAGAAAATTGCTTTTTCGAGATTAAAATGTGATCCCACATTGAAAAACATCACCTGGAAATTCATACCGCCTAGTGCTCCTTGGTGGGGTGGATGGTGGGAGCGTTTGATTGGAATGATGAAACAATTGCTCTTTAGGATTCTCGGTCAAACCTCCTTGAATAACTTTCCACGGTAATGTGTGACGTCGAAAGCTTGATGAACACAAGCCCACTGACCTACCTAACTGAAGAAAGTGAGGATCTCGTTCCATTGACACCTTCGTTGTTCTTACATGAGGTCAGAGAGGTTGGCGTTCCAGACCTGGACTTGATTGATAACCAGACCCTCTCCCGCTAAAATTTCAATATATCAAAAGTGTACGAGAAGATCTTAGAGAACGATTTCGTATTGAATATTTTGGATTCCTGAGACAAGAAACGAGACGCCTGAAGACTACCATACCATTCAAGGTGGGAGACATGGTGCTCATTGGACAAGAGAGTTTAAAGAGACTACACTGGCCGTTAGCCAGAATAATCCAACTTTATCCAGGAAAAGATGGACTTGTGAGGGTTGCGAAAGTGAAAACTTCATCAGGTGATAAAATACGACCTATTCAAAAACTCTACAATTTAGAGATAACGCCCGAGATAAGATGTCGAGACCCTCTAACGGAGCAATCTCCCACACAAGAAGTTCGATTGACAACTGAAGAGGACCCTTTGACTTCACAACAAGAGCAACATCACATTGAAACCCTGAATGTTGTGTCAAGTTACGGACGGCCCATCAAGAGACCCAACTGATTAGATCTACTGAACTTTTCCTTTCCATGTTTGAGTCGTCAAGGCGCCAACTCAAAGGTCGGAGAAATGTTGGAAAAGAAGGAGTCCGAAGCAGCCAATGGGAGGACGACAGAAGCGGCTACGGGATGCAGCGGCTAAAATGGGAAAACAAATACAGAAGAACCTGTAAACAACTTTCGAACACGAGAATTTGCCCTGATCTCCGATTCTTCTAGTGTAAATATTTAAATATATAATTTATTAAAAACTACTTTACTTTTTTTTTCTTAATTTATAATAAATATAATTTTCCCTCCTGTTTTCGTCTAATATTTTAATAGTGCTATAAGCAGCGACACCTTAATCTTGAACCTTCAACCCCGCTGACCAAGAATATGTTGGGGATCTCTTATGGTTCAGACAATGAAACAACAAATAACAAGTTTACTTACAGCTGAAGTGGTTTTAAAGAATTAGGCGATTTTACCTTTTAAGAAAGTATTTTAAATTTATTATTTTCAAAGAGAGTGAGAAAAGAACATTTAACAATTTACATTACAATTATTAATTTTGTAAACAAAACCAACACTCCTTTGTTCTCGTTTTTATATTACAGTGTTGTCAGTCTAAAAGTATTTCAAGATCATTGATTTACTATTCTTCTTTTTTCCAACATTCCCTCTTGAATCAGTGATCTTATCACATTCAACAGTTTCTTCACTTATGTTTTAAATGGTTGTCATAAGAAGGGATTTGAATTTGTCAAACTTTGGTCTGGCTAGAGGTTTTGTTAGGATGTCTGCAATTTGGTGTTCTGTTGGACAATATATCAGGTTAAACTTTTGAGCTTGATCTTTCACAAAATGATATTTGACATCAATATGTTTAGTTTTAGTGGTGAATTGACCTGATTTTATAATTTTTATAGTGCTTTGGTTATCAACATAGAGATTTATATCAAAAATATCTGGAATTAATTCTTCTAATAGGGATCTTATGTATGACACTTCTTTGCATGCATCTGCTGCAGCAATGAACTCTGCTTCAGTACTTGAAAGGGCAATTACAGGTTGCTTTCTGGAGCACCAACTTATAGGACCTCCACATAAGTAAACTACATATCCTGTGGTACTTTTTCTAGTTTTAATATCTCCAGCAAAGTCAGAATCACAATACACATTTAATTCAAATGGCATCTCTCCATCATATGATATGCCTAAATTGGTGGTGTGATTTAAATATCTTAGGGTCCTTTTGATGTTTATAATATCTTGAGTTGTAGGATCATGCATTGACCTGCTTTCAAAATTTGTGGCAAAGTTATGTCTGGTCTAGTTTTGTTTGTCAAATATAAAAGGCTTCCAATTGCTTGTCTGTAGGGAAATTTGTTATCATTTGATATTTCTAAGTTTTTGTCTAGTTCTTTAACTACATCTGTAATGGGAGTGGGTACTGGTTTTGAGTTTTGCATATTATATCTTTCAAGAACTGATTTTGCATAATTTTCTTGTGAAAGTAAAATTTTATTTTTTTTCCTCAAAACACAAATTTATTCCCAAAAGGTTCTTGGATCATTGTTTATTTTAACTTCAAACTCTTGGGATAGTTTTTCTAAAATATTATTTAATTCTTCTTCATTATCTCCCATTAAGATACCATCATTTACATATATTGCAAGGTACATATTTCCTTTGTTGGTTTTAAAAAGACATGGCTCTGATTTTAGTTGTATGAAATCTTGGGATTTGAGAAAGTTTTTAATGTTTCATTCCATTTTAATGGGGCTTGCTTTAAACCATACAATGCCTTTCTTAACCTACATATATTCCCTTTATAACCTTCTGGCAATTGAACATATATTTCTTCATCCAAAACCCCATATAGAAAAGCTGTTTTTATGTCAAATGTTTCAAAAACAAACCTTTTCTTAGCCATTAGAGCAAAGTATATCCTTAAAGAGACAGTGCTTATAACTGGACTGAATGTCTCATCATAATCAATTCCTGCTTCTTGTTCAAAGCCTCTTACAACTAGTCTTGCTTTGTAGCGGCCATCTTCTTTCACTTTAAAGAGCCATTTAGAGGTCAGAATCTTCTTGTTTGACGCTTCATTTTATTTTACTATTTCCCAAACTTCATTTTTGGCAAGAGACTCTTTTTCTTCTTTTATTGCCTTTTTCCATTTTTCTTGATTTGGACCAGATATAGCTTCCGAGTAAGTTAGAAGAGCTGATTCTGTTGTTCCATCCCGTTCTAAATAGAAGTCTTCATATCTTGAGTGTGTAGGTGTTTGATGGTGTTTGTAGGTGTGATTTGTAGGGATATCTTCTTTGTCTTCAGAGACTTCTGGTAGACTTGGTTCTTCATTTAATTCTAGTTGGTCTTCTGATTCTTCTTCTGGTTCCACAATAGGTATTTTTTCTTCTTTATTTATACATCCTTTATCTAAAAATTACATCTCTAGCTGTAAGCTTTGTTCATCCCAAAGGCGATAACCATTTTGTGCGTAACCTATAAAGGTATATTTTTTACTTCTGTCTTCCAATTTATTCACGTGTTTTAGGGTTTTGACATAAGCTTCACAACCAAAAAGTTGTAAGTTTGACAAATTTGGTCTTTTGTTGAACCAAAGTTCTGCAGGGGTTTTCTCTAATTCTTGAGTAGGGCTTCGGTTCAGCAAATAGGCTGAAACCCTTACAGCTTCTCCCCACATGTATTTTTCTACACCAGAATCAATCAAAAGTGCTCTAGTGTTCTCCATCAGGGTTCTATTTAATCTTTCGGCTTTGCCGTTTAGCTGAGGTGAGTGGGGTATGGTGAGATCCATAATGATTCCTCTAGCTTTGCACCAGGATTTTATATCTTCATTTACATATTCTCCGCCATTGTCACATCTTATTTTTGAAACTTTTAGATTCATTTGGTTTTCTGCTTCTTTAATAAATTATTTTAGATATCCTTTTACTTCATATTTATTTTGTAACAAATACACATGACAAAAATGTGTGTAGTCATCAAGAAATGTTAGAAAATAGTTTTTGTTGTTATGGGTAGTGGGATCTAAAGGTCCACATACATCTGTATGGATTATTTCTAAAGGCCTTTTTGATTTTGTTCTAATGGAATTGAATGGCTTTCTTACCTGTTTAGCTTTAATGCATGTTTCACAAATTTCATCTTGACTTATTTTTTCTATGTTTATTCCATTAACCATAGATTTTAATTGTTTTAAGCTTGAAAAACTTATGTGACCCATTTTCTGTGCCATTCAAGCATTTCTTCATTTTGGGTAGCTGTTAGGTGAGATTCTTTAATTTCGGGATTTTCTGTTTCTATATTTATTGTATAGAGTCCATTTTCCTGTTTTTCTCCTTCTAAAACTTTTATTCCATTTTTTACGACAAATACCTTTTCATCTTCAAAGACGACTTTGCCTTTATTTCTGGTAATGGCACTTACAGATAGTAAATTATTTGTCAAGTTTGGTACAAACATCACCTCCTTGAGATCACATTTCTTCCCTTGAATTTTTCCGACTGATTTTGCTATTAGAGTTTCTTTCTTTTTTTGCTATTGATATTTTTGAGTTGCAATCTACTTCATCTAGTAAAAACTTTTTACTATTTATCATATGGCTTGTTGAGCCACTGTCTACAATGAATTCTAGCAATTTCTCTACCGACCAGAATCTTGACAGCCTAGTTAATACATCTTCTAAACAAATACTAAACGCAATGCTTGCTGCAGTTCGTGATAATCTTCTGCATCGCTCAACCAATCGTGATGAAACTTTGGGAAGATGTTTAGTATACTACCGGGATGGTTTCTGGCTAATTACTCTTTAGAAATAACCTTTCGTTTCATTTTTATTTACAATAAAACGTAAATTCACTCGCAATCAGCGCCCCTCTCGCGGCAGACGGGCGATGGCGGCGCGCGACGATTGGCTGCCGGCGCAGCACGTGACTTCCCTGCCCCCCCCCCCCCCCCCCCGCCGAGTAAATGAGATCTCCCGGCTGACGGCCGAGCAGCGCCCTCTAGAACGCGTGACGATTTTGACGGCGCGGGGCGCTCCCGGTTGGACAGTTGCGCGGGGGCAGAGTGACCTCGCGGGTGCCCTCTGGGAACTACGTCCATCTTCCATATGTAATATACTGTAATATACATTTAATCGTGTAAACCCGGGCGTTCCATTCTCAATCCCGTAGGGCTTTAGATCGGCTAAAACATATTTATCTTTATAAGTGAATATTAACTTTACTGTACTGAATAGTTTAGTATAATGTTAATATAACATATTACAATTTAGCCACAGCAACGCGTGGCCGGGTTCGCTAGTATGGTCTAAATCTATCATCCATCCTATTTTTAAAAGCGGTGACCGGGATAATACATCAAACTACCGCGGAATTGCCCTTATTAGTAATCTGTCAAAACTTTTCACATCAATACTAAAATCGCGATTACGCAACTGGATTGAAGGTAGATCAATTATTCCAGAAAACCAGGCCGGATTCAGAAAAAGCTACTCCTG